AAATGAAGCTTGAGACTTTGCCTAACTTTCATCTCATTACGAGTATAGGCTAGGATTAATATTTGAGAACGTTTTTTATAACTTTAGGAATTTGATATTTTCAACAGTTAACTTGCTTTGAATTCAAATGGTTCAAACTTTTCTGGAATGCAAGATATCAAGATCTGGTTGGTACCAAAATGAAGCTTGAGACTTTGCCTAACTTTCATCTCATTACGAGTATAGGCTAGGATTAATATTTGAGAACGTTTTTTATGATTTTTGGAATTTGACATTTTTCAACATTTACACTTGTTTTAGTTCAAATGGTTCAAACTTTTCTGGTATGCAAGATATCAAGATCTGGTTGGTACCAAAATGAAGCTTGAGACTTTGCCTAACTTTCATCTCATTACGAGTATAGGCTAGGATTAATATTTGAGAACGTTTTTTATGATTTTTGGAATTTGACATTTTTCAACATTTACACTTGTTTTAGTTCAAATGGTTCAAACTTTTCTGGTATGCAAGATATCAAGATCTGGTTGGTACCAAAATGAATCTTGAGACTTTGCCTAACTTTCATCTCATTACGTGTATAGGCTAGGATTAATATTTGAGACCGTTTTTTACGATTTTAGGAATTTCATATTTTCTACATGTAAACTTGTTCTGAATTCAAATGGCCATAAGTTTTTTTGTGTGCAAGATATCAAGATCCGGTTGGTACCACAATGAAGCTTGACTCTTTCCCCAACTTTTATCTCATTACGAGTATGGGCTAGGATAAATATTTGAGAACGTTTTTTATGACTTTAGGAATTTGATATTTTCAGCATGTAAACTTGTAAATTTGTCAATCAATTTTTTGATTTTTTAATATTAATTTGCCAAATATAAATGATATGTAGTAATATGAAAAATTGAATTTTATTAATTAATACCAGAAACTAAAAACAACTCAATAACTGAGATCCCGGATCGAAAAACTCGATTTGTGCTTTAGGATGTACGCGCTGATACCAGTCTATTCATTTTTCACTAATCTTCGTTTAAAATTGTTTATCTGTTTCTACACCATTAAAACTGCCATAAGAATATCTTTGTCTGAAAATCTTACTGTTCTTTACTTCGTGTTCCAGTAAAACTGACATAAAACTATCTCTCTTCAAATTTAACCATGATTTCTTTCTCTTTCCAAAACAAAATTCATAGGAGTGCTTCACTTTACCTAATTTGCATATCTACTCGTTTCTAAATAAAGATATTTATTAATAATCTGTCCCTGATTTATAGATTAGACTACTGCAGAAATGGAACAATAGATATCGAAAGATTAATTCTCATCACAAATGAATGTAGAAATCATACAAGAAAAATGATAAAAGAATTGATGAAAATGATCTTAGGTGATGATAAATTACGACGTATGATAATACTAGGAGAGATAGGTTGTCAAGGTGTACCTAAAAATGTTGTAAAATTTGTTTTCGGTGAGTTTTTCCCAATAAAACATCATTGTTTCGTATTATCCTTATAATGTTAAACATAACTTCATGATGAAATTTCAGAATATGTGAACTCACATGCCAGATCACCTATTCTTTTATCAAGATTTTATAAGATAATGAGACAGTTTTGCTATGAAATTCGACATAGACACAGTGATCAGTCACTTTGGAAAGGTATGCTATATTTCTTTCAACATTCCCATATTTAATATTGCGCATTCTTCTTTCTTAATCCCTACATTGCTTCAGTAAAATATTTCTTTAATTTTTATTTTGAATACTTTTCTTATAATAATAAGATAACTCCAGAATACGACAATGAATGCACTGTAAAAAATTTTTGGGGAAAATTCCCCAAAATCTTGGTGACGCAATTTTAACCAAAAAAGGTAAATTTCCACCAAGAAAACTTGGGGAATTTTCCCCAAGAAAACTAGAGGAATTTTCCCTTTAAAATCTTGTGGAATTTTCCCTTTAAAACCTTGGGGAATTTTCCCTTTATAATCTTGGGGAATTTTCCCCAAAAAACTTTAGGAATTTTCCCTTTGAAATCTTGGGGAATTTTCCCCAAGAAACTCGAGGAAATTTCCCTTTAAAATCTTGTGGAATTTTCCCTTTGCATCCTTGGGAACTGTTCCCTTTGAAATCTTGGGGAATCTTCCCTTTGCAACCTTGGAAAATTTTTCTTGTAAATTCTTAGAAAATTTCTCTTTTAAATTACTTATTATGGAATTTTTCTCTTCGAACGTTGGGATATTTTTACTGTAAAATAGTACAGAATTTTTCAGTAAATTTTATCCTTTCATATTTGGGAAGATTGGTTTGTAAGGTTGAATAAATCTTGAACAAATTTTTTAAATACTGTTTATTATATTAGGTACTGTCAGTGAACGATAAGTACTTCAATTAAAAGTACTACATCTGAACTTTACAACATTAATAATTAATTTTTTGCTTTCGGATCGCAAATAGTCTTTGTGTAATGCGAAAGTTCTCCGTTTATATTGCCTTTAGGGGGTTGATTGTCCAACAACATACTGTAAAAATAAATTATTATTTACCTTTTACAATTGACAAAAAAATACATAAAAATTAGATTGAACAATAATATATTTACCAAAAACTATGAATATATAGTAGTAATAGGGTTATGACTTTTCTAATTAAATATTATATTTCATATTTTTATTTATATATTTTTAAAATAAATTAAAAAATTTTTATTTTGATTAAAATATAAAAAATACCTAAACTACTTTATTTTTAAAATATTAAAAATTAATTGAATTCTATAAGTCAATTGTTAAATTAACATTATATGGCAAAATATGAATAACTAACTAAATTTTTTGATAAAACCAAAAATAGTTTTAAAAAACTTTACAATACAATATGTTACACTTACAATATAATTATAATATATCTTTAAATATTATTTACCTTTTTAATAATTTTTAAATCATCCTTAAATATCGTTCTAGAATATTATTAAATATTGTCGAATTGTCCACTTCACTATTATACATATAACCATCACTATATATTTAATAACTTTGAATATTTTTTTCACTCAAGGTTTTACTCTTACGAAGGCTGAAAAGCAACTAACATGTAAAATCATCTTGAAAGACTTTTCGAAGAAGACTTCTTGAGAATTTCTCAAACATTCTAGCTAAATAAATTTATAAGAAAAAAACGGGTCCTGCGAGAAACTCATAAAATACGTCCCCTTGCAACGAGAAACCCTTAGGTATTGTTGGTCATCCAAAGACAAACCAGATGTGCCAAATCTTTCAAAATGAGAAAATGCTTCAAAACATTTTATACTTTTGACAAAGAGCAAAAAAATTTTAAGGCCCCCCATAGTATATATCTTTTAATAAACCTAACTATTTATGGCAATGCTTTTTTAAGTGAAAAATAGTTTATAATTGTTTGTTAAACATGCTTTATTAAAAAATTTTTTACCAAAGTATTAATTGTATTTTTAAGATAAAATTTTTACTATAAGTAGAACAAAAAATTTATGTAGTTCATAGTGAAAGTATTTTTTATTATATAATTATTAAATTATTAAAATTATAATAATTGTAAAGTTTAATTAATTTCATTTCTTCTAAATGCTTTTTCTAGTAAAAATTGTTATTTAAATTATAAATTAGACAAAGCTCATTTGTTTAAAACATTAATTTAATGAAGTATTATAAAAAAACATTTCACTGTAATATAAATATTAATTTTTTAGCCCCTAAATCATACATTTTGTAAAAATGTTAATAATTTTGTACATGCAATTTAGTAAAAATTAACCCATTTTATAAAATTTAAAAAAGTTTTTTCAACTTTGTGGAAATTTTTATTAAATTTGGGAAAATTCCACAAAGCTTTCATAAAATGACATTTTCTTACTAATATGTGGAAAATTCCCTAAAATTATATACAAATTTCCCTATAATATTGTTGAAATTTTCACTATTATGTGGAAAATTGCACAAAATTGTAGTGAAAAATTTTTTCCCCTTCGCTTTGTAGAAAATTCCCTAATATTTTATCACTTTTCCCCAAGTTTGTTCAAAATTTCACTAATTTGTGGAAAATTCCCCAAAATCGTAGTGAAAATACTTTTCCCCGTGAATTTGTGGAATATTCCACAAGGAACCTCAGGGAAAAATCCCCAAATTTTTTACAGTGTGTATACTAATCAGAAAGAGTGGAAAATTTTACGTCCGAATATGTTTTGACCGTTTTTGAACCAACCTTTAAAGGTCAATTTTGATCAAATATTGATTTTTTTAATCTTCATTACATTACTTGAAAGTTTGAAAGTACATATTTACCCAATGATATAGCCATAAAGATTTTTTAATTTATGCAAAAACTCATTAAAATAATTTTAATAAAGAAGCTCAAAAATCTTTAAATTGCAAAATATGTTATAAATAATTAAAAAAATTTCAAAATATCCACTGAACATATTACCAGATACTAGTACTTGAAAATACAAAGACTAATTTTTACGTTTTGCAACTTTTTAAAAATAGGGAGTTCCACTTTAGGAATTTTTTACTCATATATAAGAACTATTGCATAAAAATAATTTATTTTATTTTTTGCAGGATAACTTCAACCAGGACTACACCCAGTAAAAAAAAACTAATTCAAATGAATTGAAATGAATTAACATTTTTGGTAGGCTCCAATTCGTATTTGTCACAAAGCGGGATTCACGAAAGCTCTTTGTGAATTCTTTTTAATTCATTTCAATTAGTTTTCGTTTACTGGGCATTTTATACGATTAGGAATGGCAATAATTTTAATTTAAGGAGAGAGAAATTTTTTTTTAATATATAAATCTATTTTAATTGGATAAAGAATTTTATGAAATATACACTTTATATAACATGATTTTAATTAACACATTTTCCTAGTCAATAAACATAAAAATTGAAAGCATATATACGGGTTCTTCTATCCCCGATGAAATAGAAGAGGGAAATGTTCCAAATTTACCTAACAGGAATTTTATCCCCCGTAAGCGCATGCGTGGTATCGACCTGCAGGTACCAGAAATGGGTATAATTCATGGGGAGAGAGCTAAAAGAGTCGTATACTCCCTGACGTTGATATCGTGATGAGGATGCTGTTGGTGGTAGTGGATTGATGCGGAGGTAGAGGTGACACGATATAAAACTCTCGGCAACGTGTGCTGCTGTTTTGCGGCGTCCTGTGATCTCCACCTCAGTCCGTCACCAACCGCTGCTGATACCGGCAATCCTTTTTTTTCCTTATCACGTCAACAAACTCGCAATTCACCAAACGGCATGTTTGGTCCAAAACAATAACAAACCATCATTCACAAAATGCCCATAACTAATGAAAAAGATAACATTTTAAAAATTATAATACAAAAGAGGAAAATTTAGATAAAAGTGGATTTTAGGACGAAAACAAAAATTTCTAAGTTTCTTTGTTTTTATCTGATCATAAGAGGGTGTTGTGTTAGTCCCCTGAGCAGTGGACCATGTTCGTATGTTATCGGTGTAAAAGGGTGTGCAGTTTATAGAAGTTCTCGGTCAATGAACTGTAACTATCAGCTTCACAGAAGGGTTGATTTGAAACTGAAATCTTCCTTAAAGTAATTAAACCGTTTCTTGATCATGGAGTGTTAAATAAAACGATCGCTCAATGATCAAGAAATTCGTTTTCCAGCTTCAATTAAAATATAAATGAATCATATAAGTTAATCTTACGAATCATTCACATCCAACCTGTAATATTATTAAAAAAATTTAATAGTTTATTAAAATATGAAAGTATTGTGAAAATTAATTATTAATTTTAACAAATTTCTATAACAAAGAACTTTACTTGATAGGTATAAAAAAGAATTAGAAAATGTTGCATCCATCCTTAAAATTAGGAATATAACATTAAGAATGATAGTATCGTAATTTTCTAATCAGTAAATAAATTCTAGTCCATTAATCCATAGAATTGAATTTTTACATATAATTAATAAGAAGCTTGAATAATAAAAATTAAATTAATAAATTCATTAGTAAAAAGAAAAAGTATTTTATGAAGTAATATAGTCTTTGATGAAAAAAAACATTTAGGTAAACAGTAATGAAGAGGAAATTCATTTAAATTGTATTAGACTGAGTAATTTTAAATCTTTAATGCAGTAAAATAATAAATTCAATAACAGTAAATACTACATACCTACCTGTTGTCTATAAACAGAAACATATACATAACAAACGAATAAGAATTTCATAAACGAAATAAATAATAGAAATTAACAAAAGTTTTTTAAAAGTAGAAAAATGTGTATTCTATGGAGTTAACAAAAGATATATATCTTCTAGTAGATCCCCTTTATGATACAAAGTAAACTTCCCCTTGTGTCGTGAAAGTTTTCGTGTGTGTAATCGTACAGTCGTCAAGCACGTGTACTAGAAAAAATTTTAGATGATCAGTCAGTAGTATTTTCACCCTCGGCAGCTGAAATACATTTTTCCCTTTTGTTGTTAAAGTTTGAGAAAATAAATACTGAGGAATGGAAAAAACTTTTATACAATCATATTTTTTATTAACAAACCGTTAACAAGATTTATGTCTGAATGAGAAATGATCTCAAGTGAATAAGAATAATGAAGAGACACTATTGTAAAATTAAGAATAATGTCGGGTACTAGTAATGGATGTATAAGAAAAAGTAGAAGTAAAAGCCAATGTTATATTAGTTCAGCAGTAATGACAGTGCAAGAAGAACTTTTGACGAGTGGAACTCGAGATGGTTTAGCTACAGAAGCATCGCTACAGGTAATTTTTCTGTTGTTAAACTCTCTAGTAAAGAATATACTATTTTCTTAAAATTACCTTTGCCTAAGGAAAAGTATATAGGTATTATAAAAGTTATTAGATTTCCTACTGATTCTTTGGAGAAGTACAATTTTTATATTTTTTTTATTTACACCGCACAATATCTTGTAAGAACAACTATTGATCTTGTTATAAATTTCTCCATTCGTAATATCAATGCAAAACTTGTAATCAAGTTAGTTAGAAACTTTAGAAACATTATTGATCTTCTTACTGATTTCCCCATTCATATCAACAATACAAAAATTGTGATCAAGTTAGTTAGAAACTTTAGAAACATTATTGATCTTCTTACTGATTTCTACATTCATATCAACAATTCAAAAATTGTGATTAAGTTACATAGTTAAAAACATTAGAGAGTATTAGATGAACTAAATGTATATTGCACATTCAACAAAACGATTGCATGTGAAAAGATAAGTTTCGTGTACCATTGAAAAGTTGTTAAGTTTAAAATAGTATCATATACATAAGAACACAATCAAAGAAACAAACCACACTTAACAAAAAACTTATTCATAACAGTGATCAGTCTTACAACGGTTGACAGTCACAATGGATTTTCGAGCTAAATTTTTCTTTGAGTACCAAGGTTGCAACTTATTACTAAAATAATTCGTAAAGTATTTTTTACCATCACTCAAAGCTATATTGTCAATTGTACATTTTCTTGCTCCTTTTTTAAACTGTTCATAAAAATCAGTAAATGGAATCCGGGTAGAGTGCGATTATTAAATTCAAATGGGAATAAAGATGTGTTAGCAACAGCAATATGAAGCATTAACCACCTTTGGATTCATAGGTTACAGATTGATGAAAATTAAAGAAATAATTATTCTTCGAAACTGGGAAATAGTAAGAAAGAGATTTTGAATATAACAATTGCCTTAGTAGTGCAAAGGTTTGGTTTGATGATAAAACGATGTATTCAATAAATCTTTAATAAATTTTAACTCACTTTTCATTCAATAGATGCAACTTTTTGTATTACTTCAAGAACGTGGAATAATATTCGATGTTTGGTTGGTTAAGTTGAAATTGAATACTGAATTCTGGATACTTTGGTTAGAGAAACTAAGTAATGATTATTGAATCTTGAATACTAAAGTTTGAGTACTGAATGATTATGTATGTTGATATGATGTATGTTGAATAATTGGTCTCTTTTTTTAATCTTCTCAAATGTTTCCTACTTTTATTTGGAGAATATCAAAGTTTAGCAGGATAAAATTAATTTTGTTATAATATTTACCATACTTTTAGGTTTTGTGATTTGAACGAAATCGTTTAGATTAAATATATATATAAATTCTTATCCTGTTAAAATAATTGATATTTCCTATTTATTTGTAGTGTAATATTTCTTGGAAAATTTAAAAGAATTTTGATATGGAAATATATGGAGGATGTAACAAGAAATATAAATGGGTGGAATAGTATATAAATATAGTGAGGCGCAGAGAAGAGATGAACTACTTAAGAAAATGGAGAAGATGGGAGAAATGGATAACAGAGTGATTAGGTTCAGGATGGGCGAAGTGTTGGAGTAATTAAGATGTATTCTTGAAATGGTACTAATTCACAACTCAAACATGTACGTGACAGTCATTTGAGGAAGAAGAGGCATTTTTCACAAATTTTTGTTATTTTTGTACCCCAGTTGTACTTCTATACGTATGAGCCAGCTATGTTGTATACTGTCTAGGTTTCAAATAAGATTTCGAGCTTAATTTTCTACAAATTTCAAAAATAATACTAACTTTAATTTTCTAATTAATTGAGGGTCCCAATCAAAGAACCGGTTATAAGTTTTTGAGACTCAAAATTCTCGACCTCTAAATAAAAAAAAGAATTTAAAATTTCAATTGCTTGAAAACATTTCGTATTTGTATAAAGATTACCAAAATGTTTCTCAAAAAATTGGGATTAAAAACAGTTTAATTTGTGACTTACAGGGCAATGATTTTGAGCTTAAAAAAATTATAACCGGTGTTCTTTGATTGGGACCCTCAATTAATACTGATATCTTATCAATGTTGCAACTAGAAATCCTCATCTAGAGACATTACAGGATATCCTAATTTCCGAATATGACTAGTATATCCGTATGGTATCTTGGAATATTCGATGCTTCTGGATAATCTGTGAGCAACAATCTTGTACGGTCGTTGATATTAATTAGAATTAATTATTGTGTTCCTAATTAAAACGCTAATATAAATTTGATAAATTTATCACCCGTTAAATGAATATTGGATGAGAAATTATATGTCAATCTTTCCGAGTCAGGTGGTATAATAAAGTTAATAACACATTACTTTTGACAAAGTTTCAACAGCACAGCCTTCCTCTTTAGGAAAGTAATTTGTTATATAAAATGTTTACGTCCAGTAAAATAGACATAATTCGTTATAATGTGTCTTTTACCATTTATATAAATTTTCTCAAGGAATTAGGGATTTAATAATATTCTTAACAGAAAGTTATTTCTGTAAATTATTTTTAGTATTTTATGAATGTTTACAGGTGACACATGGTCCCCGAGGTGCGACAACAAGTATTTTACATCATCCCAGCATTAGTAGAGGTGCTTCTATACAACGACGTCATAGAAGATCGACTAGTAGACAAATGTTACTAGTTGTTGTTGCAATTATTCTACTAGTAATCACTTCATTAACAATTTTACTACTCATTTTAACACGAGACTGCAATCAAGAAGCACGTAAGATTATTAAATTTAACTTCTTTTCTAATATTATATTATACGTGGTAAATAAAATAAATAATATACTAACTAACATTGGGAAATGATTTTCCTTTTCATTGAACTACAAGACCTATAGTTAAGCCACTAAACGAATTCAAATCTAATTGTAGTTCAATCAGAATTGCGTACAAATCGTATCATTCTCCTGGATAAAATACTACCAACAAATCCATGGTACTTCCATAGGTTTATTGATTTCAGGACTTTTTACAGTCCAGAGTGTGTTTACTCATCATGTATGGGTTTAAATTTTTTTACACGGACTTTCTTATACAGATACGCAAATATTATAAATTAAAGTATAAAAAATTGAAATTCTAAAAATAATTTAAAATTACGACAGCTCTAATCAAAAGTTTTAACTTACTTAAGAAGTGTTAACTAACAACATAAAATTTAATAAAAAAAATAAAAATTAATATAACCAATCTTTAGAACTTTATATAATTATCAAGAAAAAAATTTAATTAACCATCCGTCACTCGTTTATAGTATGAAAATACTCCACACCCAGCTTTTTCTTTTACTTCTGTTAAAATACATAAAATTATAATCTCATACTTTCATTATCTTTTAGAGCAATTTTCTTTTATAAAAGGTACTTTAAGTATAAAACTGACCATTCTAATGAATGACTACGTAAGACAATTTTTAAGTAAATACTTCTTCTACTCAATAAATCTAAACTTTCATTATTAAGCATTTCCATGGTAAGGGATCATGGTTATTTTCTCTTTGTATGGGAGTTGGATGAAACTATGATTGATTGTTTTCTTAAGGGGATGTCAAAGTCGATTGGATTTTTATATTGAGCTTCAATGGGAAAATCGCATCGACAACTAAGAAAAGTGAATATTTTTTTTTTGAAAAATATTCATAAATATAGAAGGTATACAAGTTTGAAATTTTTTTATTAATTTTTGGAAACCGCATAACCTTTTATGTAAAAGATCATAATGTGAATTTTTTAAAATTGGTTATCAAAAACATTTCAATAAATCCCAAAAAAATGAGTTTTAAGCCATATAAAGGTGCAGTTGTACTAATATCGACTTATTGTTAAATGTCATTCTCTTAAATGAAAGTTCGGTTATTTGTTCGTTGGGGAACATTATTCATGTGACCCGCATTGCGAATACAGATTGTGAGTATATAAATATTACGCGGGTGACTGAGGGTTGAAAAAATACAAAATTATTCAGATATTTAAAAATGCCTATAAATAATGTACCTAAGGTTGGTCGTTGTCATCCTGTTCCCCCTCATAATGTACCTAAGTAGCACGCAGCATTGATCAAAGTTTACATTACCTGTAATATTATTTTGAAGAGAACACTTTAAAATTCCTCTAAAATCACAATAATACTACCATATCTTTAAGGTCTACTAAGGTATGTTACAATTTTGAACGATTTTTGAAAATCATTAAAGAAAATAATTATTTTGATATATAAGTTCTTTCTTTTTTTAAACTATAAAATGCTTGTCATTTTGTCATATAAAAGAAAGAAGTGTTTAACATTAAAAATTACTTTAATTTTGTAGAGAAATAACAATGAAACTCATCTTGATAATTACACTTCTCAACTTTTTATTAATGCGTCTATAATGTTGAAAATGGAACGACGGAATAAAACTTTTTATAATGCCTTTAATCGTTTTAGAGTGCGGGGAAAATTACATCATTTAATTTTGTCCACTTCTCTTAAAGAAAATAAATAATTTTCTTAATAATATAATGTAAACTTTGTTTTTTTAATAATATACGTAAAATGTTTCAGATCCAAACCTTTGTCTAACAGAGGAATGTGTTCGAACAGGTTTGTATACATTATACTTAGAAACTTATAAAGTTCATTATATTCCATTTAATATTTCTTAATTTTAGTTATTTATTTACATTATGTATCCTATGTACAGTGTTTTTGGAACTAGTTTCTGGAGATAAAAATTTTATCAGAATAACTTCGAAAGCATAATATATATTCGCCAATTTATTATTAATCATTTATAATTAAAGGAATAGTGTTTTGATATGTTTATCTTTCCATGATAAGATTGTAATCAACTTATACAAGCTCTCAACTACTATGTAGTTATATTCCTTTAATGGATTTACTTTTTATGATATTAATTACAATCGGCAAGAAACTCATCATAGTCTATTAAATATCTTGTTGGGTTAGGGCGCTGTAGTTAGAAGCTTATTTGCTTACACTATATACATTTATCGACTCTACAGAATTTTTTACTAAATTTTTTTCCCTTTACTTAAAATAAATTATTAAAGAAATCTCTAACTAGACTTAATAATAAAAATCAAATAGTCATTATAAATGTAATAGAAATTTATAATTAAACTAATATAAAATAACATTCTCCATTCAAAAGTTACGAATTATTTGTAAATAAAAATTATTTGTAAACACTTAACTTGAAAGATTTACAATGTATGTTAATTAACATTAGAATTTTCTTTTTTCATTTTTTAGCTGCCAGTTTATTATCAGCCATGAATCAAACAGCATCGCCTTGTGACGATTTTTTTCAATACGCTTGTGGAACATGGAATCGCCTTCATGTTATACCAGAAGATAAAAGTTCTATTAGTACTTTTGAGGTGATGGCAGATCAACTTCAGGTGATCTTGAAAAGAGTTTTGGAAGAACCAATTAACAACTATGACAACGATGCAACTGTCAAGGCAAAGATGTTTTACAAGTCCTGCATTCACATCCGTGGGTACAAACAAAAGTAACAACGAAAATAAGAAAACCAAAATTGCATGCACACCGTAAAGAAAGATATTTAAGTATAGGTGATTTTGTTCTTGTTGCAAATTATATACACTCTAACGTTCTTTTTATTTTTAATTATTTTTCAATAATTATTTAAAGACTTTAAACAATTTAAATATTTATTTTTAGATTTTAATTCTATTTTCAAATTTTATTTAAGCAAAAAATCAAATAAATATTTGGCAAAAGGTTAGGTTAGGTTAGTTAGACTCAAACCAGCTAACATAGATTGTTGAGAAACTCAGTAAGGTCGTGCAGACAGCGGATCGAAATGTAATACTCGAGATCCACGACCAACATTACTAAGGTAACTAATTAATTACTAAGTTTGGAGAAGTCCAGGAAGCCCTGCACTCAAAAGTTCGCTGACTCTAAGAAAAGTCCGAACTGCTTCTATTCCTTTGTAAAGAAAAGTACGGAAATAAGGTAAATACGAACCACACTGATGGTGGAGTTTGCGGAGTCCTCCGTGTATTTGCGAAAGAGATAGATTGCTATTCCCTAAGGCAAAAGTTTTACGGGCGTTCCGAGGGTGGACAAAAGGGCTCAAAAAGAAGGGTTACGGATTTTAGTGGATCGGGGCTGACAGTAGGTCCACCACCTATATTAGTTGCAATGTTTTAATTGCTTATTTATTTACTCTTTTCGATTCTTTTTCTTGTTTCATACCAACCCCCACACAACAATAGAATCCAAGGTATCTGTAAGCTTTCCCACAGGTCCCTAAGCACAAAAAATCTACCGAATATGATCTGTTTTTATAATGCAAGTCATATAATTTACCTTTCAATATCCATTAAAATCCAATAACTGAAATTAAGAAAAATATCAAAAGATATTAAACATAGAGTGATATAATTTAATAGAAAATCCGTATTTTCATTATTCCTATGAGCATCGATGTTATTCAGCAATACATATGGAATTTCTCGTTATGTATGAAGAGAATGACAGATGCTGCTTTCAGAGTGCCTCTCAAGTTACTTCCGTTCCCATTTTCCTCTCACCAAGGGAATACCACTGAGGTATGCTGAAATTGAAAAATAATATTTTACGCTATAGCATGTCACTCAATTTTAAAATTATATTTTTCAATTTTCTCCTATATCCATTTCTAGTCTATCTCCAATTTCGGCTTGTATAAATTTTAATACCAATAAATTAATGAAAAATAAAAGCTTTCTTGTGTCCTTGTGATTCGATAAAATTTATATATTTAGTTCACTTTACGTTACGAGACTATCAAAATATAGGTAATTTTTTATTAACAAAATTTTATGATCAGGAAATAATGTTTTTATTAACTATATCACTATAACTTTAGATACGACATTTTTATATTGTTCTTCTTCAATAATGTCCCATTAAAGAGTTTTCCATGTTGGGAAATAATGTTCACAAAATAATGCTTCGGAAAAGTAAAAAATTAATTTAAAAATTAAGAACTCTCAAATAGTTATACGTAGAGCGATAACGTTGTTTTATACATACGCCCATCACGTAATTAATTTGAAACTAGAAAACTAGAACTCAATTTCACACTAACCAAAATTATTAAGAGAATTTTGGCGCAGTTGAACGAACTCGCCTACCATAAATTAATTTCAGTGCATCAACACTTATAATCTGTACGTACACACATCTACTCATATACCCTTTAATTTTCTAATGTAATAGGAGAGTTTGCTGACAGTTATAGATACTCCTCGATGTTTCAAAATACCTCATGATAATGTTATATTTTAAACTATAAAATGTTTTTCTCATTTACATATAGGCTTCTTCTGAATTTATTTTAAAAAAAGGTGAAGATGGTATTTTTAATTTTCTATGTAGTCTGTATAGTTAGATTATACGGTTAGTTTACTTCATAAACGAGAAAAGTTAATTTAATCTAATATATATTATAAACTTTTTTATTATCTTGCAGCAAGATATTGTACTATGTAGGTAACAATGAACCTGATATGATTTAACCAAGATACTTTTAGATATCTTATAATACATACTTGAATTTAACCCATTAATGCCCAAATGTCCAATATTTTTTAATGAATCGAAGTTCAAGTTAACAAAAATACACCTAACGTTCGTCGTCTTAAATTAGTTTCAAAATTGAATCTAATTTGTGCTGAGGATAAGTCAATGAGCCTACTAAATGTTTTTTAAGAGAATAATTTATTTGAAAATCAACAAGAAAGAAAAGAATTGCCAAAATACAATGAGTATAATTAAAATTATGAATCTTACTTTAGAATAATAACAATTACTAGTGGTGTATGAAGTGGCGATGTAATCTCTATCTCTGATCTTGAATGTTGATGAATTTTGTCGAACTTGATTTAAAAATTATACTTGGAGATATAGTTCACTTGTTGATAATGTATTTTTAAATTCACTTGTAGGTGATGTACTTTTAAATTCACTTGTAGATGATGTACTTTTATATTCACTTGTAGACGATGTGTTAGGGTTGGGTTCTAAAAAGTTACTCTCTTAAACGATGTGCTAAGGTCGGTTTCCAAATTATTACTCTTGCCGAAATAGAACCCGTCAAGAAAATCTTATTGAAGTTAAAATTTTGGATAAAAATTCTTACCTTGAGCTTCAGTAAAAAATTTTGGACATTTGCCGTAAATGGGTTAAATATTTTTAGGTTGTATAATAATAGAGTAAAATTGTTGTAAACCTCTTTTTTATTAAAGTTAATCACATTTTTAAAAAAATTTCAGCTGAGATTCGAAAATTCGGAGATGAACCTTTACGAAGAGTATTAAAATCACTTGGTGGATGGCCTGTTGTTGAAGGTGCTTCGTGGAAAGCTCCTACATATCCAGTGGAAGTTCTTTTAGGACGACTGCGTGGAGAATTTAATGAAGGAGTTTTCTTTGAGCAATGGGTCGGTCCCGACGACAAGAATTCCTCGATGAACATCCTCCAGGTGCGCCCTCAAAGTAAGACCTTAGTCAATGACTAAAGGAATATAGGTAGTTTTTTGTAATTTTTTTATTTAGAAATTTAAGTTAGTATATTATTTCAGTTATTTACTAATTTCATTTTTATCCAACAGGCACAAACTGAATATACCTTTAGTCCTTGTTCTCAGATATTTAAACACGACAAGTTTGTGCCTTATTTGGAATAAAAGGTATTGTAACTAAGTAGAAACCGAAGTCAGTTCTTTTTATTTATATCAGTGTTTATACTGTTTAGGTGTCTTGCTAATATCCAAGACTGAAGCAAGTGGTCTAAACACCAAAATAAATAAATTTCTTCCTTTGGTCCCTAATTCTACCTAATATCTAGCTTTTATATTATGCTTTATATATATTGTTTCATATACTGCTTTTATTTTTATTTAATAAAAATTTAAGTTTTACTTTTAGTTGGACCAATTGCAACTGGCATTACCAAGTCGAGTTTATTATTTAAAAGAACATAGTGAGGCAGAATTGGAAGCTTATCATCGTTACATGACAAGCATAGCAATACTTTTGGGAGGGAGTTCGGAATCTGCGTCCGAAGAATTCAAAAAAGTGATTGCACTTGAGAAGGATTTGGCAAATGTATGTTATTTTACGAATTTATATAAATTTCTGCAAAAACTATTTAAAAAATCGGTATGTTCGTTAAAGAGGTTGTACATACCACTTGATGGAATTGTTCACACTACTTGAGTCAGAATCCTATTCCAGAAATCTAATTTATCACTCAATATTTTCCACTGTCTCTCTCTCTCACTTCAAGCAACCTAACTTCACAATTCCCACTTCACTTCTCTTTCTTACTTTTTTATCATTCACACATTCACTGCTTTATACAAACATACCTTACACTATACAAACAATTCTCTGATACAATAAACTCAACATGAATCCAACACTTTTTTGATTCTCTTTCTCATCAGAGGAAATTCTGTCTGAACAATTTGGCAAGCAGAAATACTAACGACGAGGCACTACTAGAAAATTATATAAACTTTATCTACTAGTGCATGTAATTTGATAAAAATGATCATGTTAACACTGTACACAAATGAACCTCCTTAATTAAATAATATTTGCTATTGAAACAGCTATTACTAGCGCATCAGGTGCTAAGCCAATAATTAGATAATAGTTTTAGTGTTTTAAAATATTTATACATGATTTATTTGGTTAAATTTTAGGCTTCCCTTCCAGAAGTTGATCGTCATGATACTTCGTCTGTGTATCGGAAATTAACTTTACGAGAACTTCAAAAGGAAGTGCCTCAAATAAAATGGCGAACATATTTTGAAGAGTTCATATTTGTACCTGTTACTGACGATGAGCCACTTGTAGCATACGCTATGCCATACTTTATTGAAATGGGAAAAATCATATCAAAAACAGACCGCAGGTAACATGTGATAATTAATAGACAATTCAAAATAAGAAAGTTGTCCGCATCGCTTCGATTTTTGGTTTTTGTTCATAAATTCATAGTTTAGATATAGAAGAAGTATATAAATATAAATTCTGACTACAGTTCTTGAAATTTATTTCATTAATAAGAAATTGAAATTATTTTTCAGAACATTGCATAATTATATCATTTGGCGATTAGTGATGTCGATAGCACCTCATATGATTGACGAGTATCAACAGAGACGGATAGAATTTCGTAAAATCCTTATTGGCGTTCTTGCTGAGAGGGCAAGGTGGTCTCAATGCGTTGACTGGACAAATAAGAAGTTAGGCATGGCAGTTGGAGCTCTTTTCATTCGTGAAAATTTCAACCACGAAAGCAAGGTGACTTAGCATTAAACTTAGAAAAAATCTCAAGTCAATTAAAAGTTCACAAGTTATTTCTGCCTTAAATCTAATTCCACAATATTTAACACTAGTTTATTACACCGTCAACTTTAACGATGACTAAAACTCTAGCTATAAAGCAAAACTACTTAATAAATGTAAAAATAATATTTGATGACTTTGAATCAACTTTTTAGGAAACTGCTCTACAAATGATACAAACAATTCGTCAAGCTTTTAATGAGCTTCTAATAGAAAATCAATGGATGGACGATGAAACGCGAGCGGTCGCAAAAAGTAAGGCTGATTCTATAAATGAGAAAATAGGTTATCCCGAATTTTTAAAAGATTCGAAGAAATTGTCTGAGGAATATATAACGGTAAAAAATTATGCTTACTATGAAACTGTTCAATTAAATATTTGAATAAATATGCATTTATTTATTCAAATAAAATGCAGGATACATTTAAATACGCGAGTAATTATTTATGACACTGAATAAAATAGTCCCATATTTCAGCTGAACATCACTGCTGATCAATATTTAGAAAATATATTAGCAGTATTGAAATATGAAGCATATCACGTATTGATGAAATTACGTCAACCAGTTGATAAGGAAAAATGGTCAACGGAACCAGCTGTTGTAAACGCTTTTTACAATCCAAACAATAATGATATTGGTAATATTTCTCTTTTAAAATACTATTTTTTTTAAAGATTTAGAAGACTTGTATATTATTTTTTTTTCTACAGTATTTCCAGCAGGAATTTTGCAGCCACTATTCTACTCTCAGCACTTTCCTAAATCATTAAATTACGGAGGGATCGGTGTAGTAATAGGACATGAAATTACTCACGGCTTTGATGATAAGGGTCGTCAATTCGATAAGGATGGAAATATGATGCAATGGTGGAATAATGCAACGATTAAAGCTTTTCGAGAAAGAACTCAATGTATCGTTGATCAATATTCAAGGTACAAACTTCAGGAGGTCGATCTTTATGTTAATGGAAGAATGACGCAGGGTGAAAATATTGCAGACAATGGAGGTCTCAAACAATCCTTTAGGGTAGGTCAAACAAATCAACAATGATTGCAATTGATTTCATTCTTTTTTAACGAAGAAGCCTATTTTCTTTGAATTTGAGTAAAACGAAAAACTTTGAATAAAACGAAAGTCATTAATCTTTTTAATCCGAATTAATTTTAACAGGCCTATAAAAAATGGGTATCTAGTCATGGAGAGGAATCTTTATTACCTGGAGTAAATCTTAATCATGATCAACTATTTTTCTTAAATTATGCACAAATTTGGTGTGGCACTATGAGACCAGAAGATGCGCGAACTAAAGTCAGAAGCAGTGTCCATTCTCCAGGTCGAGCTCGTGTATTGGGTCCACTCTCGAACAGCGAGGACTTTGCCAAGGCCTACAATTGTCCTTCGGGTTCTCCAATGAATCCTACACACAAATGCAGCGTTTGGTAATACTAATAATCTTCCTTAAGCCTGCCTACATGCAAATTATAAAGTTATTTAAACAAATGTTATGAAGTATTTGTCATTATAAAACATTTTAAAAACAATAACTTTTAAAGTATATATTTTTATTAAACCTTTTTTTTAACAGGTAATGAAGAAAAATTTAATCCTGGAATTCTACTTATAAATAATAAATAATAAATTCACGTCAAAACTATAAATTTATAACATCAAATGTGTCAATAAATGCAGTATAAAAAAAAGATTTGTAAAAAACTAAAGTAATAACATAAAATAATGAAACGAGAGACGAAATCTCAAAAAATACCAAAGTATTATAAAATATCTTTAAGATACTTTTCGCTAAAAATTAGCATTTTAAAAAATGTCTAGTTTTTTCAATGTATTTCAATGCATTTCTACTAACAAAATATTTGTCCTTCAAGTCGACAGTAAAAGAATAATATTTCTCCTGTTTTTTCTTCTTGGTGTAAATAAAAATAAATAAGGAAAGTTTTTAAAACAAGTTTTTATTACTACAGACAGTATAATGTTTATTTATTCCCAGATTTATTTTAATTTCAGTGATTAAACTAAAAATGAAAACATTCCAACTTTACAAATAGTTTTAGTTATAAAAAGGAAACACGACAATGTTCCTATTAAAAATTAAAAAACTTACGTTATTATATAATCAACTTATAGTAAATATAATATTTTTTAACTGAATCCATTCAATTATTTCAAGTTGAGACTGCTAATCCACGTAAAACAAAATGTCTTCTGAAAGTATATTACTCAGAAGTTGTATTAATGTAACCATTACATTCTCCTTTGGTGTCTCAGCATCTTTCAATATTAGGGTATAAACATCCCGTCCTGCAATTGTTGTTTTCCTCATAATATCCTTCTTCAATTTCATTGCTTTAGTTACAAAGCATGAAAAATCTGCATTACGAAATATACGACTGACGCCCGCTATTCCAGCTTGGCTCTTAAGTTCCATTTGATACAATACAAGTCTTTCGGAAGATGTAGTTGTCAAACAATCTTTCAAAGCAGCTTCTTCAGTGAAAAATCCGAAATTTATCGAAGAAGAATTGATTATTTCGCCTCTAGTTTTGTCTACCATTTCCCTAAAATTTTCGATAGGAATATTTTCAGCAAAATAAAGAGTTATTGGATTTTCGATCCACCTCTCATCACATTGCATTATAGCAAGTCTGTATAGAGCTGCCAAGACTCGCACCTCCCTATATTTAATTGTTTTAAAACTTGCAGAGAATTGTGAGTAAATTGCAAAGTAATCCTCAAACCGCATATTGTTAATTATAAAAAGTTTCTTATAATTGTACCACACATTTAGAACTTCATCTTCTCTGTAAGCACCATCATATATTTGGTTAATTTTTTCAACTCCAGATACCAAATCAAGGTGCCTTAGATTTTCTTTATACAGAACATCATCAATATAAATATTTCTTTTAATTTTCCACACATCATACGTTTCTGGAATTGTGATAGAGGAATAAATATCATCTGCCAGCATATCGTAAGTCGGAACAAGATTTTCTTTCTGATCAATTCTTAAAATATATTGTTTCAAAATTTCCTCCGTATCATGTAATCTGTGTAGAGGAGTTTTTAGGGCAATATCGAAAGCACTATTTTTAATACTTTCCAATCTTTTACGTTGAAATGATTGCGGTACTGAACTTAATGCATATTCCTTATTTCTGATGTTTAGCCATTCCTCTTTGGGCATCAGTTTTTCCTCCAGATGTAGAATTAAAATATCCTTTCCATTATGATATCGAGTGTCCACAACCAAAAACTCTACTTCCGGAAATACAATGTATTGATTTTTGAAACTATGATGAAATTGGACTAAATCAACAAGTCCATAACGAGAATAAAATTTCATGTGATAACGAACTTCTGTTTTTAAAGAGATCCTTGATGGTTTCTTAGGGTGAATCGGACCGGGGTGAATATCTGTCAGAAGAGTAATATCATTAAAATAAAAGTCTTCTTTTATGTTTTTCAAATAATCAACGAATGATGGTCTGTCTATAATGTGGCTAAACCACAGATCTAATGTGTTATTATTATCAGTTTCTGAAATTTGTTTCATGCTTATAAAATTGACGGAAATTCGAAGAGACTCTAACACAAACATGTCATTTCTGAAAAAAGACAGTCCCTTTTGCTGAAATAATTGAATTGCCTCTAAGCCTTCATAATAAAATTCTTCTCCCAACTCTGAGAAAAACTCCATGTTACTTTCACTTAAATCGTTTGATTCTTCTGAAACTTCAAGACTATTATTATTTGTTAAACCTCTTTTAGAAATTCTGTGCTTATTGTAACTCCTAGTTAAAAGTGAATGTTTCTCTTTTAATAATGGCCAAATAAAATCCTTAAAAATTGTCGTAGATGCCAAAAGAGTAAGTTTTGTGCCTTTTCTTTGGGATGAACAATAGTCCTCATTGGTGTAATTTTGCAAGAGATGTTGTAATACTGCTTTCTTGAGAGCTGTGTCACTTTTATTTTGGATCCCTTTAAATATATTTGTCAAATATCCGTCAATGTTTCCATAAGGTGAAAATAAAGCAGTGTTAATAATATGATGATATGTTTCCTTTACATATTTCATATCAAGTGGTTGATATTCGCGATTGCCATAATGACCACCACTTTGATTCAATACATTTTGCAGAAACTGAAGTTTCGTTTCGGATTCATTCTCGGATTCATTGAGATATTCAAAGAAGGTATTTAGCACAGGAATTGTCTCACTTTTCTTCTTTAATGTAATTAAGCCATTTTTGTAAAAGATGATACCAAAAATGGTAATGTACTGACAAACAGGAAGGAACTGATTACTTAGTAAATGTTGAGTTATAATCGTGCTATTCATAATGACTCAATATTGACGCTGACTTTCAAATTTTTGTAGTTTTGGTATCTTTCCACTTCATTTAGCCTTCACTCTGTACGAGTATACCTGTAATAGTAGAATTTTTATTTAAACACCTAATGTCACAACAAAATGATTCGATAAAAAAAATTTCAACGGACACTTGGTGCGATCTTTCTGATAGATAGTTCAACAATAATTTTAACAAATTTTCTGGTAAATCTAAAATTTTGAATTAGAATAGGACGATAATTGTTAATAATGAACTTATTTGAGCTTTTTTAAATTGGTATTATTATCAATGATTTCCATTCCTGCGGAAAGACGCCGGTCACCAAGGATGGTTCTATAGGGATATGGCTCAGTGAAATTAGGAGATTTCTAAGATGTTCAAGGTGTGACCACGGACTCCACTGGGATATCTTAGAAATATCCTAATTTTCCCGGGTTAATTCTGAAATCATTGACAACATCTTGTGGATCACCCATAGCATAATTATATTATATAACATACAATATTTATAATTTTCCATCAGCTAAGTCTATAAATTATTTTGTCTTATCAAACAGGTGTTCCTTGACAACAAACAATATGAATATTAACTTTCTCTACAATAAATAGTGTTATACAGACATTGCCAGGTTGTTAAATGTAAGTGACTATCCGATATGGATATATATATATAACCATATTTTCTTATTTTTGATACTTAGAAAATTAATATAGCTTGTACTTTGGCAAAACTATGCAAGAAGAATCCTTATTTTTTAAAATAAAAAATTACTAATCTGAATTTTGGCAAAAACATGGGTCCCTGTGGGCAATGATTGGCTAGATTTTACTGATAACTAAAATATTGTTGAAAACTGATCAACTTTTTTGCCGAAATATTTGCCCATGTTTTTTTTTATTTAAATACACGCAAAATAATTTACAACAATACACATACTTCGATCAAAAAGATACATAAAATTTTACCTCGTATTTTTAATAATTTAGATGACCAAGTAGCTACTCGTATAACTGGTAGAATTTGTGTTACTGTTTAACGAAATAATTACAATTTGTTGAATGTTAAAATTTATCGATATAAGACTTTCTCACAAAGCAATTTATGACGCGACGGTCCACGACAAAACGTGCTTCAGCTACAAAAAATTATTTTTGTGTTATCAGTAACAGTATTTTCCTATGTAAAATTCATATTCAGTCACGTTTCCTCATCCAGGTAGATCATCAAAAATTTAATTCTTTTATATGGTTAGTTGTATAATATGTCAAAAGTTTACTATTGTTTCTTCACATCGCTTACACATTATGGTTTCATATAGAGTGGAGTTACAGTTTATTGGAATTTACCATGGTTATAATTACGTTACTTCAAGGGGTTCCAGTATATGTCCATCCATATGCTTACTAGGTAAGTATGTAAAAAACGTCTTCTTGAACCATAAGCTGGGAAATTTTCCAAATTCCATAGCATTCCATAAATTTGCAGATCTTTTTACTCTGTCTTCGCGTATTTGCTTATAGAACAATTTCTTGTCTGCAGCAATCTGCAATTAATTACCACATACATATAAGTAACTGTAGTTTAAATAAAAATTTGATCAATTTAAAAAATTTACTAAACACTTAGATACTTTGAGTTTAAGGCTTGAAACATTATTAAAATTTAATTCAGATTTCTTCTGTTTATTGAAATTCATGTCCACGGGTTTCAGTAATGATTTATGTGCTTTTAATTTGGCCCATGTGTGCATACTTTGTAGCATAAGCTTTTCTGAAAATAATAACCTAGAATGTTATTGGTTTCTATTTTCTTTATTTCGAACAATTTTCTTCTTTTATATTTAATTGTTGAGTGTCTTAGTTTTTTATAAAAATTTAAATAAGGCATCCGATTCTTATATAGATGTGCTTTACTATACATTTACAGGGTAATAACTTTCTTTTTGTTATTAAATTTTAAGAACTGTGTTTTTGTATACCTTTATCTTGATGGGAAAAAAATACACCTCTCCTGTACATTATCCAGTAATTTAGTTGTGGAAAATCGAAACATCTGGGCAACTTGGCGAATATAAATCCTTCATGTGCCATTTTCTTGAGTTCATTCTATATAAATTATTTTTCATGTAAACAAATACGTTTGTAAATATTTCAGTTTAATTAAAAATTGGTTCATAATTACTAAATCATGTGTTATTTAAAAAATGTTGTTTTAAAATATATACATAACTCTTTAATGGCTTGTAGGAAAAATACCCTTTATAACCCTTTCAGTGTCATTGACACCATAAATTAACAAAAAAAATTCAGCCATTAAAGGGTTGAAAAGTGTATTAACCCTTTAACACCCGAGCAAAACAGAGAAAACGTATAAACCAATAAAACACCATTCCTAGGGTTTTTTGGGACGCTGATTACGAATTTGATGTCAAATTGACAATGTGGCAGTTGACAGCTGTCAAACAAACTGTCAACTTTTATAAAAGTGATTAATTTTTATAAAAATGACTCTAAAAGGGTTTTTAGGGTCGCTGATTACGAATTGACCTCAAATTGACAATTTGACAGTTGACAGCTGTCAAAACCACTGTCAACTTTTATAAAAGTGATTAATTTTTTGTAAAAATAACTCTAAAAGGTTCTTAGGGTCACTGATTACGAATTTGAACTCGAATTGACAATTTGACAGCTGTCAATTTTATAAAAGTAATGTTGTTTAGATAAAAGTGTAAAAAAGAGTTTTTACAGTTTCTGATTTCGAATTTAGTGTCTAATTTGGTCTAATTGGCAATTTTAAAATTGGCAGCTGTCAAACCAACTGTCAACTTTTATAAAAGTGATTATTTTTCTATAAAAATGACTCTAGAAAGATTCTTAGGGTCGCTGATTACGAATTTGAATTCAAATTGATAATTTGACAGTTGACAGCTGTCAAAACAACTGTCAAATTTTATAAAAGTAATGTTGTTCAAATAAAAGTGTTCAAAAAAGGGTCTTTTCAGTTTCTGATTTCAAATGTTTGTGTCCAATTGTCAATTTTAAAATTGAAAGTTGTTTTGACAGCTGTCAACTTTTATAAAAGTGAATAATTTTTTGTAAAAATGACTCTACAAGGGTTCTTAGGGTCACTGATTACGAATTTGAACTCGAATTGACAATTTGACAGCTGTCAAAACCACTGTTAAGTTTTATAAAAGTAATGTTGTTTAGATATAAGTGTAAAAAAGGGCCTTTCCAGTTTCTGATTTCGAATTTAGTGTCTAATTGACAATTTTAAAATTGACAGCTGTCAAACCAACTGTCAACTTTTATAAAAGTGATTAAATTTTTATAAACATGACTCTAAAAAAGTTTATAGGGGCGCTGATTACGAACTTGAACTGAAATTGACAATTTGACAGTTGACAGCTGTCAAAACCACTGTCAACTTTTATAAAAGTGAATAATTTTTTGTAAAAATGACTGATTACGAATTTGAACTCAAATTGACAATTTGACAGCTGTCAAAACCACTGTCAAGTTTTATAAAAGTAATGTTGTTTAGATAAAAGTGTAAAAAAGGGTCTTTACAGTTTCTGATTTCGAATTTGGTGTCAAATTGACAATTTGACAGTTGACAGCTGTCAAACCAACTGTCAACTTTTATAAAAGTGATTAATTTTCTATAAAAATGAGTCTAGAAGGGTTCTTAGGGTCGCTGATTGCGAATTTGAACTCAAATTGATAATTTGACAGCTGTCAAAACAACTGTCAAATCTTATAAAAATGTTGTTTAGATAAAAGTGTTCAAAAAAGGGTCTTTTCGGTTTCTGATTTCAAATGTTTGTGTCCAATTGTCAATTTTAAAATTGACAGCTGTCAAATCAACTGTCAACTTTTATAAAAGTAATTAATTTTTTATAAACATGACTCTAAAAAAGTTTATAGGGTCGCTGATTATGAACTTGAACTGAAATTGACAATTTGACAGCTGTCAAACCAACTGTCAACTTTTATAAAAGTGAATAATTTTTTGTAAAAATGACTCTAAGAGAGTTCTTAGGGTCGCTGATTACGAATTTGAACTTAAATTGACAATTTGACAGTTGACAGCTGTCAAACCAACTGTTAAATTTTATGAGAAGTAACTTATTTTTTATAAGTGTCCATAAAAGTATTTTTGGGGTCGCTGATTACGAATTTAGTGTTATAATCACAATTTGATAGTTGACAGCTGTCAAAGCAACTGTCAACTTTTATTAAAGTGATTTATTTTTTATGAAAATGACCGTCAAAAGGATTTTGAGATCGCTGATTACAAATTTAGTGTGAGAATCACAATTTGACAGTTGACAGCTGTTAATCGAACTGTCAACTCTTATAAAATCTTATAAACTTTACTCCAAGGTTCCGTTACTAGCGTTAGATTTCGCTAGCGTTGGCTACAGACTCGCTTGGTAAAATTTTCATTATTTTTTTATAATAAAAATTTTTTCTTTAGTTTACTTTTATTTTTTTTTTTTGTACCTTGACGGATTCTGAAGAAATGAAGTCAACTCCGATTAAAAATTATTAATATTTAAAAAAGTTACAGTGGTTTTTGTAAGTGGGACACATATATGTCCCGCAGGCGTTAAAGGGTTAAAAAGGCAAATTCATGCAATCAAATAACTTACTGTTACCAATTCCTTTAATTCGAATTCGTTTTCAACAGTTTTTATAACTTCGTTACTTTCTGATGGTTTCAAATAAGAAAGATTTAATTCTTTTTCATTTCCTTCTTGACCATTTATATTACTTGAATTAATAGTTTTACTATCAGTAACTTTTTTTTTAATTATCACGTCTTGAACATTTATTTCTTTTTCATTTTTTCTCTCATTGTCAATTTTATTTCTTTCTTCAACCACTTTATATTTTTGAACATTTGCAACCTTCTCATCGATATCAAATTTTTTATTCTCTCTCCTATTTGTTTTCTTAACCTTTTTAACAATTTTTCCTTTTTCCTTGTCAAATTTCTTAAAATTATTATTCTCAGATTTTTGCCTTTGTTTTTTGCTTCTATTTTCATTAATATTCGTGATGGGGATAATAGTTTCAACATTTGATTGATCTGGTAAAATATTTGCATCATGAGAAACATTTGTAATGCTCTGATTTGGTGTTACGATTGGAGTGTGCATACAAACTCCATTAACAAGATATTGAAGTTGTCCCATTTTTAAATTTTCTGCCACTCCACTTATGCAATATTTTAATTCATCCAGTCCATTTTCATTGGGAATATTTTTTACGCCCGATATGATGAAAGTTGTTTCTTTTTCCATGGGTCTTGAAATTCCGGCAATGTGAGTGATTGGCACTTTTTTGTAAGTTTTCAATTTTTTTCTACGATTCAACCATTTTTCAGTTTCTTCTTTTTTCATAACAATTTTCCGCTCGTACTGACATTCACAAACTGGTATTTTTACTTGTAATTTTCGAATTTTTTTGCTGTAGGAATTATTCGTCTGTTTTGAATTCTTTAGCCAACAAGGTGTTTTATTTTCATTTTGAGTATAAAAATTCATTAAACCGTAATCTTTTAATGCATCGTCCCATTTCTTTGAATCGAATTCTTTGTCTCTCAATTGATTTTTATTCTCTATCGAAATAATTTCATCTTTTTTAACTTTATTTTTAACGCAAGTGCCATATGGTGATTCGTATAATTCATATTCAGGAATATAATTATCACTTCTTCGAGGACTGAGTGGAGGAATAAATTCTTGATTTATCGGTTCACTGGCGTTAGTTTCGAGGGTTTTTTCATTTTCTCTTTCACGACAATGACAAAGTTTACCGCCAGGCTTTACTGCTATTGATTCAATAGGACGAATTGGATCCTCAAGGTAAATTAATGTTTTTTCAGGCGCTGATATTTTTTCTAAATTCGCTTTGCAGTTGAAAAGTTCCTCTTTCTTTGGAATTTCATTTGATAATTCATCATCGTTTGGTACAATTGCGATTTCAGTTTTATTTCCTTCAAGATTTTTCCGATTTTCCATTTTCAATGCATTTAATTGCTTTCTAAACACACTTGAATTTCTGCTTATTTTTCTCGATTTTTTCCTTTCTGCTTGATT